TGGAATTAAACCCACGTCCTCCATTTGCAACTAAGCTGTACCCTGTTTCCCTTTTAAACGTGGTCACGTGGTAGGGTAGTGTGTTATACACAACAAAAGTTTTTCAAGCTGCTTTAAAAATGGCGAGAATTTTTCGCAAAAATTGTGAGTTTTTCATTTTAAACCAAAGTAATAAGTATTATTGTTTGTATCATCTCTGTACTTGTTTTGCTTGAAACCCTTGATTACAAATATTTGTTTTGTAGTTATTTTGTTGTTATTTTGGGCAGCTAATATGTTTCCCACTGAGAACAATTATCATTGATACAATAGTATAATTGGAGTTTCTTCTTTTAAAAGAGAATTCCAGTATGTAATGAGTCTTAACAAAAGACTTGAAGATGATGTGTTCAGATAATTGCAAAATATCTTACATAACCATCCAACTAGTCTGGGTGTCTAATTAACATAAACTTCATAAAGGATAGGTATCGATGTGGTGAACTGAATTCAACAATGTTTTTCTCTTAAACCAATTATTGAAAACATTCTGTAAAAAACAAGGTCCTTTATATAATGTTGACTGATTGACAACAGTTTAATGCAAAAATAATTTATATATATTTTTTATAACTGTTTTTGTTAACATCTTATGTTTTTTTGGTGCAAATGTTTTTTGTTCCTTTCTACCAATTCTTGAGAATGAAATAAAATGTCTTTCCGAACCTTGTTGGAACAAAATAGCATATACAACATTTTCTTAGACCTCTCAATATTATAGTTCTACAAAGGAAATTTTGGTTGATTTAACCAAAAAATTGAAACAAACCCCCAAAATAGATAAAAAATAAGATAAACCTTTTATTTCATGAACAAGATACTTTTTTAAAATCAACCAAACTTTCCTTTGTACAATTACAATATTGAGAGACCTAAACGCGTTGTGTTTATGTTGTTTTGTTCCAATGAGGTTCAGATAGTTGTTCCATTTCATTCCGAACATATGATACCAAGAACAAAAGAAGTGACTGATGTGTTTTCTAAAACAATATAGAGAAATATATATATATTTCAAAATGACGATATGTACAATTTTCAGAATTTTTTGATGACTGGTTTAAGAGAAATGTGTGTTCAAAAAGTTCACCATATCGATACCAATCCTTTAAGAATTCCTTAAACAATTGTTGTAACCATGAATATAATTTCGTCATAGTGAGAGAACAATGGATTTTGGGATTTCTTAACTTTACAAAGAATTTGTCAATTACACCCTGGATTCAAAGACTCCATATTATATGGGGAATGATAAGTGTTCACCCTGGATGAACTAAGCAATTAGTTGGTCCTTGTTTTTTACTTTCTTTTTAACAATCATTTAATATATTTTGAAGTTTCCGACAAACAATTATGAATTCGTAAGAATAAATTACACTTAGATAATATTTTGTTGACAATTTTGGCAACTCCTTTGAAAAAATGAGTGCCCCATTTAGCTTACATGGCTGCTTGACTAGTTTGATGTGATTTTCTTCTATACGAGGGTTGTCCCATAAGTCTTGAAATTTTTATTCTAATTCAAAAATAGTTCAATGAATTTGGCTGAAAATTGGTATGTATCAAGATCAATCAATTATCTTCAACATGTGATAGTTTCATAACAAAATTATTAACTTGAGTAACTATTTTGGTTGCTATGGTAACTGGAGGAGCTAGGGATTTTGTCAAAAGTCTTTGCGTGCAGTTGTGCAATACCACGCCTCCTTTGGGCACACACCTACACTGACAAGAACAGCCATGGAAAAAGTATATAGACAGTATACTCCGAGTGCACCTACAATATGGAGGTAGTAGAAGTTAAAAACTGGAGATACCAGCCTAGGATGCTCCGAGAAGTGGAAGGCCAAAATCCAGTGACGAACTCATACCACATGTTTTAGAGAGTATAAGGGCTGAAAGGAGAACAACTTGTAGGAAGATAGCCATACAGTGTAGACTTTGATATTAGTAAGAGTACTGCTCACAGAGTGATGAAGAAAGACCTTGAGATGTCAAAGGTAGCCCCTAGATTCGTCCCACATATTCTGCCAGAGGATCGGAGCAGAAAAAATAAAATACAACTTGGGATGTGCTTCCAAATCCTTTTTTTATTTACGTCATAGTTTGTATATTTATCCTGTTTTCTGCCCCGGGTACCACTGACATTCCATTTTAAAACATCTGTAACATTTCCAAATGATCTTATTATGCTATGAAATTTACAGGTATAGAAGAAATATGTCTAAGTTACAAAATGTGAAATTTTTATCATTGTATCTCAAATATTCTATGAATTCGAATAAAAATTTCAAGACCCTCGTATTGTATACTAGTATATGTTTGACTATTAGTAGTTCCTTTTGATAAGCCTGTTAAAGTCTGTTCATGTTGAATCTTCATTTTGTTACTCCATTTCAATAACATAGAAAGGATTGGTAGAGATATGGTGAACTAAATTCAACATTGTTTTTCTCTTAAGCCAATTATTGAAAACAATCTATAAAAACACATCCTGTATGTAATGGTCACCGATTATGACAACAATTACTGTGAAAATTATTCATCAATATTTTGTATAAATGTTTCAGTAAACAATTTTTGTTTTGGTGCAATTGTTTTTTATTGTACCTAATAAAGGTACGATATTGTCGTCAGCTTGACGGGCGGCGGCGGGCGGGCGGGCGGCGTCTCACTTTTCAGCTTGTCTACAGGTTTCCAGCCAAACCATTTGACAGATTCATCTGAAATTTTGTCAAAGTTAAGAACTGATTAGTTTTTGGGCATTCTGGGTAAATTTTAAGGTGGCCATTTTGGATTTTCCGTCCTAAAATCTTCACTTTCAAGACTTGTCTACAGGTTTCCAGCCAAACCATTTGACGGATTCATCTGAAATTTTCAGGAATGTTTCTACATATCAAAGTTAAGAACTGATTAGTTTTTGGGCATTCTGGGTAAATTTAAAGGTGGCCATTTTGGATTTTCCGTCCTAAAATCTTCACTTTCAAGACTTGTCTACAGGTTTCCAGTCAAACCATTTGACGGATTCATCTGAAATTTTCAGGGATGTTTCTATGTATCAAAGTTAAGAACTGATTAGTTTTTTGGCATTCTGGGTAAAATTTAAGGTGGCCATTTTGGATTTTCCGTCCTAAAATCTTCACTTTCAAGACTTGTTTACAGGTCCTAAAATCTTCACTTTCAAGACTTGTCTACAGGTTTCCAGCCAAACCATTTGAAGGATTCATTTGAAATTTACAGGGATGTTTCTACATATCAAAGTTAACAGCTGATTAGTTTTTGGGCATTCTGGGTAAATTTAAAGGTGGCCATTTTGGATTTTCCGTCCTAAAATCTTCACTTTCAAGACTTGTCTACAGGTTTCCAGCCAAACCATTTGATGGATTCATCTGAAATTTTCAGAGATGTTTCTACGTATCAAAGTTAAGAACTGATTAGTTTTTGGGCATTCTTGGTAAATTTTAAGGTGGCCATTTTGGATTTTCCGTCCTAAATTCTTCACTGTCACACTGCTGTGTTTTAGGTACGATATTGTTCACGTCTGTGCCTTGTTTTCTTACCTACCAATTTTTGATAATGAAATATATCAGAATCTTGCTGGAACAAAATGGCATATACACAGTGTTCTTAGACATATTGTTCTTACACAAAGGAAATGTTGGTTCATTAAAAAAATATCTAAGATAATAAAATAGATACCCCAAAAATAGATAAAATTCAAGTATATCTTTTATTTTAGATAATCGGTTTAGATGGACCAAACTTTCCTTTGTATAATTACAATATTAAGAAACCTAAATACATTTTGTTCACCGATATGTCATTTTGTTCCAACAAGTGAGGTTTCGGAGAGATGTTTCATTTTATTCCAAAGATATGGTACGAAGAACAAAAGACAATTTCTCTGGTTTCTAAAACAATATAAAATAAAAAGTAGACAAATATTTTCTAATTAAATTGCTACCAATTAAAAGGTGACCATTACTTTGATGATGTGTAAAATTTTGATGACTGGTTTAAGAGAAAATTGTGTACAAGTTAGTTCACCATATCGCTACCAATCTTTTATGACAAGTTTGATCAATTAATGAAATTCACCAAACAAAAACATGCTTTAACACATAATGCAAAAGGAGATTTTCAATTACCAAACTTTTTTTAGGGGAGTGTAGATATCAACATCATGTTTCACATATTTAATAAATAAAACATTGTAGTTAATTCAACTAGGAATTTATTTTAAACAATATTTAACTCATACATGTAATTATGTTAAGGTGGGCACTGCAATATCTTGAAATAAATGAAATGAAAGCCATATAACTACATGTAAACTTATACCAACGCTATGTGCAAATAGGTAATCGGTCCTTATGTGCCATATTAACAAACACATAACACATTCTGACATTAAATAGCATATTTTATGACAATTTCCAGTTAAGGTAGCTCAAGTACAATAAGTAAGCCTGTTGTTTATGTACTCATGCTATGGACTAGCAGGCCAAACATTTGTCCTTAAATTACCTTACACCCCAGTCACATTTCCCACGGCCGCCGTGTGGTCTATCATTTCTGCGGCCAGTAGCTTTTCTACGCTCGCCGTAGAATTTCTGCGCTCTCATACTTTTGCAGTCACATTTCCCATGGCAGCCGCACGGTGAATTTTATTAAATTTCTGTTGATAAATAATACTTTTTTTCATTTTCTTTACATCAAGACAATTTAGAAATGTTATTCATAATGCTATGATGTAATATCAAATGAAAAGTGATCGTGAAACATTGACAAATAATGATTCAATCTTGTTGAGCCAGTTGATTTCTATGGGGATCTCAGAAATGAACAAATATTATAACTCCTAGTTATAATTCCTAGGGCGACCCTGCGGCCTGTAAAAAACTGGATACGCCGTAAGGAGGCCACAAGGCGAGCGTACTTTTCCTACACTCGCCGCAGAAATACACTGATTTAATTGATCTTCGGTCGACTTACGGCCGCTGTGCGACAAATGTGACTGGGGTGTTAAGAACAACACTAAGTTACTGCACTTGTCATGACTTACAATAATACATTTGAAATTAATAACATAATTTAATGCTAGATTTTTTACAAAAATACTAATAATCTTAAAGGGAGAATCAGATATAGTGAGCAAGCGAAACACAAAAATGTGTTTACCTATGTTACACCTATATATCTGATTCTCCTTTCATACACTCTGCTGTGATTGGTCAGTTTTAAACCCAATCAGTTGTATAATCTGCTGTGATTGGCAACTTAAACTCAATGAGTGGTACACTCTGTTGTGATTGGTCGGTTATCATTTTATAAACTCAATGAGTGGTACACTCTGTTGTGATTGGTCAATTATAATTTTATAAACTCAATGAGTGGTACACTCTATTGTGATTGGACACAATAAACCCAATGAATTGAACACCCTGCTCTGATTGGTCATTTATAAACCAATGATTGATCTACTCTGTTTTAATTGACAGTTATAAGCCCAATGAGTGGGACACTCTGTTCTAATTGGTCAGTTGTACGCTTCCCTTTAATTAGTTAATTTGATTCATGTGTGTCTGAATGTTTTATGATTCTTGCATCAAATGCCATGGCTTCTGAATGCTCTCTTGCTTTACGTCTTAATTCTGCAACACTGGAGGATCTATGTTGCTGATGCATCATGGACAGAGACGAATGCAATGCATTGTGGGTCTCTAAAGGGCTGCTGGGAATTGTGGGAAGCCTCATAGGTGGACAACAACGACAGATGTTCATATGATGGTGCAGACCTGTATAAATATAAAAACTTAGTAGTGGCGTGGAATATTTGATGTGAATAAGGACTGACATACATGACAGATCACTCATGAGTTATTCATGTCATGTCCCGTTGAATTGCAGTAAAACCTGTCCAATCAGAACTGGGACCAATCAAAAGTGTTTGGATTGGCAGGTTCATTTCAAGGTTTTTTTAACATGAAAGTCTGGAAGAGTAAAAATGAAACAGAAAGACAGTATTCAAATTGAGACATGTTGAGGTTTTCACTGTTACATATGGGCAAATTTACGATAATTGATATTTTCAAAATCAGTTGTTTCACTGAAGCCTTTGCTGTGTGTGTTGATACTGGGTACATTTGATGTGCGCTATTTCAAAGTCATCACAACTAGTTATCATAATCATGCGATGTATACTGACAATATTGCTTATTATTTCTCAAAAACAGCTTAAATGATGATTTTTTTTGTCAAAAGACAAAGTTTTGTTTTGTTTGTGGTGATACAAAACCGGATTTCGGCACATACAGATTATCGATTGCTTTGATATTTTTCATACTGCATAAAAAATATGTTGGACTTCAGGTCTTAAAGAGCGATGTTAGATGTGTGTTACCCATGCAATGAAATGCTTTTTCTATGCATATACCATTTGTCTAATATTTTGTATCCTCCAACACACTGTTTAAATTAACATTGCTGATGCATCATTTGTTTGAGATTTCGCCAGAAAGTGCCCTTCAGGGTTACCTCTTAAATGACAGACAATGAAAACATCAGACAAAATATTGTTGTTTTTGTGGTGAATTTAGGTTCTGCTGTCCAATATTTTGTATCCTCCAAACATTAAGATTTAATCATTGCACATAAATTATTTCAAACAATTATTTTCAGAAATTAGATTAATCCAATGTAGTATTTAAATGATTGTTATATAAATTCTCAATTAATTTGAATTTTTTAGTAAATTGAATATGTTGAGTATGTGTTGGAGGATACAAAACATATGGACATTATAAAACGTGTTAGTTTTTAATGAGTTCGACATATCAAACAACCCCTTTTGAGAGATGTTGGGAAACATATTTTATTAACCAGTTAGAAATCATCGACGGACTTGATGCATAATCTGTCATGTTGTCCGAGTTTCCATAGCAAAATTTGATTTTTGTCCACAAGATGCGGTAGAATAGCAGAATTCATGGAATTAAAAAAATATCAGTTACAGTATCGTAAATTTGCCCATATATAGGTTTTACTGTATCTGTAAACATTGTTCGATAAAACGTTCATATTTAATATTTTCATTATTCGTCATGTAATGCAATTCCTTAAAACAGGCCACTTATAAAAAGAATATTGGGTAAATAGGTGTTACGAAAAGTTTTGATAAACCATGGGCATTCAATAGAAAGCCCATGGATAAACTAAGAATTGGTGACTGTCTTTACCTTTAAAGGCAGGGTGTGCAAGTGGCGAAAATGGCGGCATGAAGGGTCGTGGGAGACCTAGTAATGCTGGATTAAAACATGGATTTATTCCACCCATAGCACTTCTGAAAAAGAGGACGAAATTACTTAGTGGAAGTTGAAAATCTTGAGTAGTTACAAGAATCTAAAATATAAAAATATAATTATATTTGATGCCTTCTAGTAATTTGAAACGAATATGGATTACAATAAATACAAAAATTCAATTTCTAATTAAATATTGTGCGCACTGCTATATGTTCTCATGTAATTTTGTGAATTTTGCGGTTTATTAAAGGGGCGGTAAAGAAAAGAGAAAAAATCAAAAAGGATGTTCAAATTCATTTGGATTGAAAACTGATGTCCTCTTTTCAATACTATATCAGTATATTGCCTACAAATTATTAACTCAGGAATTTAAGAAAATTAGAATATACAAAAAATTGTCACTATTTTCTAGAAAGTTACTCTCATTTTTGCTGTAAATAATGCTGTTAAAAATGCTGTTAAATAGTGGTTTGGCATAATGGAGACAAATATGCTCTACGGAGATTAGTTTTGACCAAACCTAGAATCTTCAACTCACATTTCTGCAGGCACTGTTACATGGGCAAGTGAGGATCTACTTTCAGCCATATCTACAATTTGCCTTATGGGATCCTGGCTTCTTTGATGCTTGATTTCTATTGGCGAAGATGATGCGTCGCATGACTTGATATCCTCTTCCAGTTTGGGCATTGATGAATGTGTTCTTTCTTCTGATTGGCTCTCATCTGTGATGACCTCAAGGTCACTGGTCACGTGATTATCGCTTGATACATTATGACCATTCTCTTGCGAGGTACTCGCCTCTGGTGTATGCTTTGCTTCTGTATCAGATGGGCTCTCTGGACCTGCTACTGGACTCTGTGGAGGCTCACTATGGGGACTATTGAGGCCTTCATGGGGGGCATTTGAATCGGGTTGAAATCGTTCACTTTTTCGCCATTTCGCTCTTCTATTTTGAAACCACACCTAAAATAATATAATTGATGAATATATATATAAAAATATCGTGAAAGGGGGAGTGAGAGGGCGTTTCGTGTATCAGATTAAAAGATTTCTCACTGTATGTTTCGTCTGAATATTTCGCCAATCAATGTTCGATTTTTCCATTGTAAAACCGAAGTTCACTCGATTTATTGTTATAAAATAAAGTATCTTATTCAGGTCCATTCAATAGAATTAAGATGAGTGCTTTTATATATTTTATTCTTGCGTCTTTAGAGTGAATGTTAATGCTTAGAGTTAATAAGGCGGAATAAATGGCCACATATGGTGAATTAATTGACTTTGAGAAACTAATTAAGAAAGTTGGTGACGAGTATTGCGGATGCGTCAATATAGTAATCTTAATGAAAAGTGGGGAATCGCAAAATTCTTCCACATTGTTTGACGTTTGTAAATCACTTCTTAATCCCAGATCAAATTATTTATGGGCCATAAAGGAGTTAAAAGATATTATTAACATATAAGGAGATTTCATCCGATTCTTTATATCTATTAGTTTAATATAATGAGCCTTATTACAGATCTGTCAAAGTGGAGAAAAAGCCTATCATAAAATCAAATGATTAAATGGGAAATGTGGTCATCAAGGAATACAATCTATTCGCTTAGAGAATTTTACATCCATTTTTACAAAATTCCCCATCACAGGCTAATGAATTTACAAATGTGATTCTCTTTTAGTGAAATAAGATTGAAAATTGAAAGTAAATTTCTATTCCTTAATGATTAAGAGATATTAGTTTATGTCAATCTACAAATCACCAAATCTTATTTTGGTCCCATGAAAAATTAGATTATTAAAGATCGAGATTTAATGATTTGCAAGCCTGGATTTGGTTTTTAAAAGCCCGTACACATCATAATAAAATCATGAAAACAATTATGCAACTAATATTACATAAAGTTAATTAACCAAATGACCTTGAGGTTCCGATAATGCGACTTTACTCATCGCGAGAAACAAAATCAAAACAAAATAATTATTGCTAAATGGTAAGAAACAAAATCAAAACAATATAATTAATATTACTAATGGGTGTAATTATGTGATCACATCCATAAAAGAAAATGCTCTAAAATGAAAAATTCCATGTAAAATATACAAATGAGGTTTTAGAGGGTACCTATACGAAGATTTTGATATATAACATGAGTATGTTCGCTTTCCGAACTTTCCCGATATTTACAATGTAAGAATATGGAACGTCAAAATTTGAAATATGCCCCAGTATTGAACTTCGGTTCGATACGTATTCGCAATTACTTTACTAATTTAGATAATTTGTTATCTAAGTTTCGGCATTTGAAGAAACGCAGAGGGGGGACTTAAACGGTAAAAAATTGTGCATTATGTTGTATGCTAATGCTCTAGTGTTTAAAATGCGATTGATAGATGGACTAAAATAATCTGCCACGAGAAAGTTATCCAAGTCCGAGCATCTCTTTAAGTAATAACTTTTGAATAGGCATACATCTTTCATATTGTCTAAAATACAAAAAAATCTTCATTTTGCATGCTCTTTGGCAATAATGCCAAGTAATTGCCTAATACAATAATTTAGCTGTAATTTTAATTGATGAATATTTCTTAATTCATTACCGCTAAAAGATTAAGCTATTAAGCCAATCTAGATGATGTATTGGTATTTGTTATAAACTATTATTGCATGATAAGCGATTAACCAATAACTCAATCCGGCGATTTACTGATACGATTTCTGTAGTGGTTTCTTAAAACTGTTTCAATGGAACTGACACTAATGCTGAAAGTGTATTCTCTTATTAGATATTTTGCTTCCTTTTGGTTTTTCTATTGTTATGGTTTATAGGAGTTTGAATGATTTTCCTATATCCAATCATCATTGTTGGATGTCGTTTGAAAACCAAATCGTGATAAAAAGCAATGCAGATGTCTTCTATTCTATTCTTCGGGGAATGGAGGAATGGGATTGACTATTCGTAGACCTACCTGAACACGTGCTTCAGTAAGGTTGATCCGCATGGCGAGCTCCTCCCGAGTGAATACATCCGGGTAGTGCGTCTGCGCGAACGCCTTCTCAAGTTCTTCCAACTATAACGATATACATTTTATTCATCTATCAAACACAAATGAACGAAGACATTTAATTAGGCGTAGCCAGGAATTTAACAGAAAGTAATTGAAGACATTAATTTTTTCAAGTGAAACTGAAATTATTGAAGTATTTTATTGCTTTAATACTCAATTTTCGCCCCACCTATTTGGATTTATCTTATTTCTATACGTATTATGCATAAATTAGTTGTATAAAAATATAAAAATCAATGCTATAAGTGTATGACTAGGCTATGGCTATTAATATCATGTGTGACAACATTAATATGATATAATAAAGCGACCTCCATCAAAATGTTCTATAAAAATTTCCGACCTGATGTTATTTAGAAACAAAGGATAGGTATCGATATGGTGAACTGAATTCAACAATGTCTCTTAAACCAATTATTAAAACATTTTGTAAAAACACGGTCCTTTATGTAATGTTTTTTTTATTTTTTTTATTCAAGTTTAAGATTTACATTATAATGTAAGGTTACATGATAATACAGTTAATACAAATATAATTAGGGTCACTCATTTTTTATAAGAATGTATATAAGGGGGTTACAGGGGAGGGGACAGGCTATAACACTAGATCTAAGTATAGTGGGTCAAATGTAATGTTGACTGATTGGCAACAATTTAATGCCAAAATTATTTATATATATTTTATATAAATGTCTTTGTTAACATATTTTTTTAGTGCAATTGTTTTTTGTTCCTTTCTACCAATTCTTGTGAATGAAATAAAATGTCTTTCCGAACTTTTTTTATTTTTTTATTTATTTAGTATTTAAGTCAGTGGCTCGGTCAACTTGACATTATGAGCCATTTTTACAGAAATATAGGAGTTGACGTACATCGGTGTTACATAGTTGAAGGTATACAGCCAAGTGAGGCTCGCACGACTAGTAGCATGTTGGTGGTGCTCTAAAGAATGACTCAGCGGTTAGAAAATGCTATGTCTAGATATTCAGCAAATGATTTGATGATACATGAATTTTCATTTTTATTACAGAGATGATGACCAAATAGTAAAGTGTTAGCCTTATTGGCTCGAGTTAAAGAGTTAAACTTTATCATTGGATTTTCACGTGTTATTTTATCATTAAGCAACTTGAAATCATCTACATGGAGGGGGCATCTGAAAAGAAAATGGTTGAGTGTTTCTGATTCTAGTTCGCAAGCGCACATTGGGGAATTAACATTGTTAAAATTATGTGAGTGTAGTTGCGCTTTGAGGACTAGGTCGCATCTGAGTTGGTTCAAGAGTTTTTCCCGATGTCTAGTAAGATTTAATAAAAAACTTGCTATTATAGGAGTTGGTAGTGATTTGGAGGCCATTTGACGTTTAAATGTATCAAGTGTGTTTGATTGTTTGATTTTCAGAGGTAGATCATTCCATTCTTTTATACTTCTGTAAACACACGATTTTGATTTAATAATAGCACGTTTTGCGGGGAGGATATATGATGGTTTGTTGCGAAGAACGCGTCTATTGTCAGGACGTTGGAACTTTCTGAAGATGTCAAGTATATAATTTGGACTATTTCCATTTGTGACACTATACATCATGTTCATGCGGCGGTGGAATCTTCTAGTTTCGAGCGGTAACCAGTTTAGGCACTTGAGGACTTTGATTGAGCTAGATCCTGAAATGGTACCGGATATAATAATACCAGCTTTGTACATTAGTGAGTCAGGGGATTTTAATTTGTTTATATTTGCGCAGCCAAAGATTATATCACAAAATTCAAAGTGTGGCCTTATGTATGTATTGTAGATGTTTAATAGGTGGATACCATTAAGTTTTGATTTTAAGACTTTCAGGGGATTGATTAATTTGTCAATGCGCTTCGAAATTTCAGTAATGTGATGGCTAAATTTTAGATTTCCGTCCAATATAAGTCCAAGGTGCTTATGGTGATCATACTTAGGTATACGCGTATTTCCCAAATGAAGAGGATAAATGTTTTCAATTGTTTTTCTTCCATGAAATATCAGATGGGCACTCTTAGTTGCATTGAAATTGAGATGCCATAGGTTTGACCAGTCATTAATAGTATCCATGTCTTCTTGAAGAGTTGTCATTTTATCAATTAGATTATCTTTATTATATGGACAATAGACGGACGTGTCGTCGGCGTAAAGAAAGGATGTATTTGTTAACTTGTCTGGCATATCATTGATGTACAGTAGAAACATAAGGGGACCTAATATCGACCCTTGTGGCACTCCTGCATTTATATAAGAATCAGCTGAGTAGTTAGATTCGTGACCGTCGACCAATACGCGAACTTTCCTATTTGACAAATAAGATGATAAAAGATCAGTTGTATTGGAGCCAAAGCCATAGCTTTTCAATTTTGTAATAATATATTTATGAGGCATTGTATCGAATGCCGCAGAAATATCTAAAAACACACCAGATACTTCATCACCATTGTCTATACAGGAAGTTATGTAATCAATTATAGAAATTAACTGGCGTTCACAGCTATGCCCTGGTAGAAACCCACTTTGAAGGCCATATAGGGTATGATTTTCTATACAGTGTTGAAAGAGCCGGTTGAAGATAACGCGTTCAAACACTTTTGACATTGAACTTAAGAGCGTGATAGGTCGGTAATTAGCAGCATCAGATTTTGATTTTTTCTTGTGGACTGGTATTATATTGCCAAATTTCCACGATAGAGGAAAAGTTTTACACAAAAATATTTTATCTTTACGAACCTTGTTGGTTGATTTAACAAAAAGTATGCAAGAACTTAAAACAAAAACCCCAAAAAAGATAAAAATTAAGATAAACCTTTTATTTCATTAACAAGATATTTTTTAAAATCAACCAAACTTTCCTTTGTTCAATTACAATATTGAGAGACCTAAACACGTTGTGTTTATGACGTTTTGTCCCAATGAGGTTCGGATAGATGTTGACGATGAGTAAAATTTTCAGAATTTTTTGATGACTGGTTTAAGAGAAACGCGTGTTCAATAAGTTCACCATATCTATACCACTCCTTTATATTCCAACATAAGTAGGCTTTAACCGGCTGGCCAATGGGTGAAGCCGTGGTCGCAACATTTTTAGAGGGTAGTGTGACACCCTGGTCCTTCAAAAGTGACACATAAACACATAAAGATTCAAGTACCTGCTGTAAAGTGAACGTTGTCCTGTTCCTTCTCTGTTTTCGCCGTGCAAACGAATCTTCTTGAAGTTCTGGATGAAGGCCGTTCAAACCAAATGCCCCATCTGGAACATTTCCAAATCAGGATTTTTCATGAGGATCGAAAGATATACAGGTGCAATTTAACGTTAGGATTATTTCTACAAGCAGTCTGGTTTTTCAGCTTAGGAAAAACGTTGAACTTCAAGTTCAAAGCTCTCCAGTATTGTTTCCACTTAGGAACCTTAGGAATTTGTTGTTATTTTGCATTGTCATGATCTTAATAAAAAACAGTTTATTAGAAACACACGAAACATCTGTACTTTAAGTTTAGTGTGCACTGAACGGAACAACCATACTTACAAGGGGAGCCCGGGTAATGAGGTACATCTACTCCCAATCTTGACGCCGGATGCATGGAGGGTGGGCAGTGGAAGCAGAACATTGCGATATCTGTAAGTAAATACGTCATTTTTGTTAAAAATACGTTTCAGGAATCTTTTACGCATGTATATTGTGATTCATAATATACGATTTTTTCGCGTAATTTGTACATCCAAGTGTTACTGGGATAATTCTTTATCACAGAGTAATTTCCTATTTTATTTTTATTTATTTATTTATTTTATTTTTTTTATTATTAAAATCAATGTAACATATTTACAGGTTTTAGTGGCTATGACCCCCAAGAGGGAGTATTAGGTGCCACATAATGATATTTACAATAATTTGTTAAATATTATAAAAAGTGTACATGTTATTTTGTAAAGTATGATCTTGTACGTAATTGAGAAAATAAAGTGATTTGATGAAAATGATTAAAATGATATTTATTTATTTCATAAACGTTATCATTTGTGATGTGCTTTAATTAAAACGTTTTAGACCGATTTTTATAGAATACATGTACGTTCATTTCTCCATTGTATGGTGCTTTTCGCAAATTCGAGGACAGACTATTCTACGAAGCGGGGGAAATGTAACGAAAGCGAGAATAACGTAGTAGTTCACATAATGATTTAGATCATTGTAGATCAAACATAGTACTTCTCAGATATCCGAAGTCTGCCTATTTGTACTTGTAAAGGCACCATAATTGAATCGGTATTTAATTATCACGTTTTGAGTCTTGATTCTTTAGAGGACGTGTTACTTTAATTAAATCACTGGTCTAATCATGTATATGAGAGACTACAGAGACATTAACAAACAAGAGTATGCCTAATTTACCATGATCCACTGTTTGTTTTGTGCTCAAGGGGTCCCCAGGCAATCCTCTGTTGAAAAGAGGTGGGTATCCAGCCCGCGAAAAATTTCAAATGGTCACAATTAAGCATGTAATTTTTCTCAGAGCCTAGAACCCCTTATCTATCTTTAAAGTAATTTTGTATAATTTAGAGTACTGATTACACGCCCGTGACCGCATCCCTTATTTACACCAGTTATATCCTTGCTAGAATACATTATAAAATATGACATCTTGAAATCTTATTCATAGGAGAAAAACGATAATTAGAAAATCACTCGTGAATTCCGTTAGGTATTCTTCCCTTTGCCACATTAATTGACTAATTATATGGTAATTGAGTTTCAAGAGAGTTATTATTTCAGAGAAATATGAAAAATACGGATTAATTTATAATGAGTAGATTTTGATATCTTATATCAAAGATGCTCGATTAGCCATTTTGCCTTTTTTGTCACGAAGACAAAAGTGACTTAAAACTGACTCAGAATTCGAGAGTTCTTCATATCATTTTCTCTCTAGAAAAATATATAAGACTAATTTCCAGTGATATATTTAGATTTATTGTAATCTAACAATGAATCGTCACTTTAGACCATCATTGGAAAACAAAAGCAAATAAAAAACTAATCAGCAATACCATTTTTTAAAAAGTTTGATTTCGTTTCTTTATAGAGATATTCTACTAGTCTCTATACCTGAGGATAAATAACATATCAAATACTTTAATTTAAAAACGACATAAGGCGAAAGATTCAAAAAATCATTTACTCAGCACATAATTTGACTTGAAACAAAAATAAAAGTCTATCCTCGAGTATGATGACATCTTCGAATATCATGACATGTTTTATAAAATGCTAAACTTCAAAAAATGTGTAGAATTAATTTTTTAACAAATTCACTTTCATCGATACTTTTTTTTACCCAACTATCAAACTATGATACAGACGGACAACTGTTAAGAAATGAGAAGCGAAGAGTGCCAGAAAATCCCTTCTGGGAAATAGCAGGGGAAGGTAGTAAATACCAGTTTACACGACAAAGGATTAGGGGTATAGTTATTTGAACTTTATATGTAAGTATGTGAAAAGGCGATATACATTTCTTTCAATTTGTATGCTATTAAATAGATACGTTTTCAAAGATAAGTGTACATCAATTTGTGATATTATAGCAAATTATAATTCGTTTGATAAGTTATGGCAAGTTATCATTATATGGAAGGTAATGTTTTTCCACTTTTTCTTCATATTCGACATTTTTTCTGATTGTCTTGAAAGAATCAGTGGCGATTAACACTCAAACCAGGTCCAATCACATAGTTTTCATAACTGTGTTAAATTATTTTTTTGTTACCGTTTTCTACTCTACGTTTTCCACCATTTTTCTACTCTACTCCCGAATATGAATGCTTATATACTGATATATGTTCTTATAATATGTTCTCCAAATTAGTGAAACAACATATTTGAAACTCCATGTTCACACTTGAGGTTCATGTACACCATACAATGCATGAACGGAAAAAATCAGAAAGCATTCAAAAATGCTGCCAAAAATTTCGAAAGGCAAAAAGTCATTGAAAAGTAAAAAAAAAGTTTTACTAATCAACATTTGAAATTATTATTTAGAGTTATATAATGAAGACATAAATACAATTAATTTTATTGACTAACAAACGTTTTTTAAGACACGCATGTCGCTTAACAAAGTTTACTTTGATATTTCTAAATGTCTTCCTAACCTTTCTTTCTTTTGGAGAATTCCATGTTTGGATCAAATTATTATTAGGATTCCTACATAAAATACTCAAAGAAGCATTAAGAAAATGATGTTTTTGAGTGAAATTGCGATTACGCAACTTTAATTTGATTATTCTTGGCTGTCAATCCGATGTTTTTGAAAATCAAATAGTTATTTACAGGAAATCTCATATTCTCATCAAGCAATACATCAATCGACCGATACATATCAATATTATTTGTTATTACTTTTAGAAATTACAGAGTTTCACTTACCTTATTAAAGTTCTGACTTTTTGATATCTTATCCGATGACGAACTTTTCGCCTATCGGGACAAGTGTAACCGAATCGAAACAATACTCCTATTTCGAGTTGTCAGCCCGATGCTGCGATGGTATTATGCTTGTTAATTCGTTGTTATCAGCTTCGATCAAAATTATCTTCTGAAATATTCCACGTCTGCTAGCTGAGTTGATTACGTGAAAATAGTATTTAAATCATAGCGTTATCTTTTATGTACCTGTCCTCAGCATGTCACTTTAGCTGTTCATCTAAATCATCAAACTTGCGTCATCGAGGTCACATGATAACCGTTTAGCCAATCAAAACAGAAAGTTAAAACCACGTGGTTATGAGTTTTTATGTATGGTATTACTGGACTAATTCACAAGAGATAAAGCTAATGCGATAATCTAATTGGTTAAAAACATGGTGAGTTTCAGATAGGCAGAAGAGAAAGGCAAGGCCCAAGGGATAAGGCTTGACATAGCAGCTCGACATCACTCCGACACTAAGCCTTCTATAACTCTTCATAATGGCATTAGCTCCGGAAAATTACATGCAAATTTTAATAGTAATCAAATTCTAGCAGAAAAACACAGGCGTATTCATTTATCCGCTTTAAAATCAGGTTTTCGTACAATTAAGTTATACGGGACTTAAAATACAAAATACAATTTACTGAGGATTTAAGGTTTTAATGGGTTCAATGTAGATCAAATTTACCCCTACCCCAGGGCATTGAAAGTACTCTATAATTCGATCATGTACCAATTTGCCAAAGCAGCAAATTATAATTACATTATACACCACTGACTAAATTATTAGAGCTAAAGCATGCCTGTAAATTATATAAAACAATAATTTAATTTAGCTAGAAGTCTAGGAAAGAATCGAAAGTCAAGGTCAGATTATACATCTAAGGTTAACCTAATCTTTATGAACATGAGTGGAAAATAACGACGTGATATCATCATTAAGTTCACTTGATTCAATATTCACAAGACAATATTACAAAGGACACACGGGTTAATACATGACACATAAGGAAGTACAAGCCACACAAGTACAAGACACATAAGTAAGTACATGACACATATGTTCACAAGATATAAGTACACGATACATGAGTACAAGACACACAAGTACATGACACATAGGTACATGACACACAACATATAAGGACACACCACACAAGAACATGACACATAAGTTAGTACATGATCTGTACATATGCTCACAAGATAAGTACAAGCCGCTTAAGTACAAGATACATGAATACATGACACACAAGTACATGCCATATAAGTACATGACACACAAGTACACGACATATAAGTACATGACACACAAGTACACGACATATAAGTACATGACACACAAGTACATGCGCATAACTACATGACACATAAGTAAGTACACGACACAATTACACGACCCAAAAAATACACGACATATTAATACACCACACATGATTAAGCAAGACATAACAATTAACAATTCTAAAAATATTGAAATACACCACTTACATTGAATGCCATAACAAATGTAAAAATAGAACACACAACCATATTGTTTATTTATCTTCTATCTTAATAACCTAAAAGATCAAAAATACCAATTCAGACAGAACAGAAATTGAACATAGCTATAGCTTGCTAAGAGTTTCCATAAATATTGACCAAAAACAAGAAAATTAATTGTTTTCCCCTAAAGGCATAATAAGGAAAATTCTTCAGAATAATTTACCTTTCAGAGGGACTATAATTTGTAATTGATGCTCAATACACTAACATTCTCTCTGTGTTTTAGAAACATAAAAATAATGAAATGAAATTATGAAATCGAAATTAAGTTGTCGAATTGGTCTTAAATATCTGTAAATTATGAGAATCGTTCCCTTGGTGAACGAGGCTTGTTCGGGGTGAAGCCATTCGCAATTAGATTAGCCCATTATCGCTTAGTTTCGATTCCCCCTTAATCATTTTTACTTCAATATTACCATTTCTGATTTATGAGGAATGATATCTGCGATAGAATTGAAGAATTATTTTATTATTGTTATCAATGGATGGTATCTTGTCTTATGATGATCGAACTTTTCAAGAAGATTCGTTACTACCCTGAACCATCGGCAAACTTAACTACCCTCTGAGTGCAGTGTATGATTCTAAATATTTTGTGAATAACTGTGAAACTGTGAAATGAATGCCAGGTATTTCTTGCAATGTTTTACAATGCGAATCATTGCATGAATTCTCCATTTTGTACTTACACATTTAGATTTGATTTCAATAAAATACAATGAAAATGAATGAAGTGGGACGTAATTGGCAGTTCATTACGAATGATGAAAATAATGAGGGGTGGGCAATCGGGGTGCCATAGAAAAACATGAAAATTATCTATTTGCATATTTGGTCGTCTATCCCCGCCCCGTGTTTCATTCAAGTCATTTGCATTTCAGTTTGAGGTATTTTTATACGCGCTTTGCTTTTAAACACGCCCGGTGTAAAAGGGTAGTACAGGATGACAAAAAAACTGGAACCCACTTAAGTTTTAATAACTTCGTCAATTATGCATATTGAGCTTAGTTATTTGGTACATGTATAGTCAACTGAATGTATGACAAGATGTCAAAGTTTTTGCATTCTACCTCAATTAGTCTCCAAATGAGGCACGATTAGATAATGTGCTCCAAATGTGCAGCACGACGTTGGATGCAGAGCTGGATTCTTCTTGCAAAATTGTCAATGACCCGACTGCATTCATCTCTGTCTATCTCTCTGATTAGTCTTCCAATGTTGAGTTTGAGGTCATCAATGGTCAGTGGACTATCTGTATACACATTATCCTTGAGATGCCCCCACAGATAAAAATCTGGGGGGTTCAGATCCGGGGAGTGGGGGGCCCAGATGTGGCGGGTATGGTGACTGATTGATCGATCACCAAAGTGAGCCTGAAGCCATCGAATGGACTCATTTGAGGTGTGGGGTGTGGCACCATCTTGTTTGAACCATTGCTGGTCCCTTCCCAAGTCACGTCGTCTACCCAGCGCTCTCCAAAACTTTTGAACGTTAGGGATGTAACGTTCTGCGTTGACTGTTGAGTTGTCTTGAGTTCTGACAGGGCTTTGTATAAAAAACCTCCTACCTCATACCCACCTACCCACGTACGTTGGACATGATACAGTCGTTGAAGGATTCAGTTTTAAAGATCTTCGTTTATTAAATCTTAGTTTATGATGAATTATAGATGCATTTGAAAGACCAGCTGGTTTCGATTCCCACTCGGGGCATCGAATTTAGCACACTTTCTTCAATTTCTTTATCTGGCTTGTTGGACCTATGCTCGCGGTCGTTATTTAGTTATTCTCCTGGGGCGCCCCTCGGGTCATTACACATTACAATGCACCCATGTGCCTTTATTTATGGATCTGTCATTCGTCTAGTCCTAAAATAAAACCGGAATTGTAGAAATGTTAATAATTAGAGCTATTGTGAGATTTAAAAATCTTAAAAAATTGAACCCTTCAATGACTGTATCATGTCCCACGTAGGTGGGTAGGTGGGTATGAGGTAGGAGGTTTTTTATACAAAGCCTTCTGACAGACCTCTCTCTCCCCGAATAGGTTGGTTTTCCATCACTTTTCTTCTTTGTTGGTTTTACAGTTCCTTCTGAATCAAACTTCTGCACAAGCCTAAAGATCTGTGACTTGCAAGGGGCTCTTCTTGCCCTGTGATCTCTCATATAGGCAGTTTGTGTCCCTTTATAGGATTTTGTCTCAATATACTTTCTCACAATATACGTCTTTTCTTCTGTCGTCCATGGCATGATTAATATCTAAGCTACAGTACTCATTATTGTGTCATTTTGTCATGCATTCAGTCTAGTTTCTACCCTGAAGAAATGAAGAATGTAGGTATAATACTTTCCGAGAAATTTGATGATTTATGGGTTCCAGTTTTTTTTGTCACCCTGTAGGTCCTATCAAAGTATGGTCCTACTCTTCGTTGATTTATATGGTGACCTCTTTCCCTTATTATCTTATACACAATCAGGGCCAGAAAGGGCTGTTAAGAAAGGGGACCATAATCCCTTGGGGACCATAATTTCTTGACAAATTGGTTTAGTTTAAAGCAGGGATTGAGGCAAGGTTGCCCTTTAAGTTCAATAATTTTTATTCTAGCGACAGAAATATTTTCATGTAAAATTAGACAAAATAAGCAAATTAGAGGTATTCAAATCAATGCCTCCACCGAGGTAAAAATAACCTCCTATGCTGACGATGCTACAATATTTGTAAACAAAGAAGCATCTTTAAAAAATGTTTTAAATGAAGCAAATGGTTTTTAGGAGGACTGGACTAAAATTGAACACAGAAAAAAACACAAGCAATGTGGCTTGGTCAGAAAAACACTCAATTGAAAAACCGTGTAATATAATTTGGAAGCTAGGAGAAGATGCTAGAATAAAAGTTTTAGGAGTAATTTTTTCAAATAAATATCCTGCATGTAAAATTATAGAAAATTGGAACTCAAAACTTTTGAAAATGGAATCTATTATTAAACAGTGGAATACTTATGGGTAGAATAACAGTGGTAAAAAGCTTAATTGCATCTCAAATAACTAATATGTTAATGACATTTATTGCACCGCAAAGAATTTTAGATAGAATTAATAACATGCTATATAAATTTGTGTGGAAAAATGGTGGGACAGACAGAATTAAAAGAAAAATTTTAAGACAAAATTATGTACATGGTCAGACTTGCCAACCTAAAGTGGAAAATTTTCGGGAGATTTAAAAAAATTGCGGTACTTTTACGGGAGTTTTTTCAAAATCCGGTAGTTTTTGCGGGAGTTTTTTGAAAAACAGCGGGAGTTTTTACGGGAGATTTTTGAAAAAAAGGTAGTTTTTACGGGAGATTTAAAAAAACGGTAGTTTTTGCGGTAAATTTTGAAAAAACGGGAGTTTTCACGGTAGATTTTGAAAGAACGGGAGTTTTTACGGTAGATTTCGGAAAAAAACGGAAGTTCTTACGGTAGGTTTCTGAAAAACGGGTGTTTTTACGGTAGATTTTGAAAAAAACGTGAGTTTTTACTGTAGATTTCTGAAAAAACGGGAGTTATTTCGGTAGATTTTGAAAAAAACGGGAGTAAAATGTATATGTGGCGTTCACTATATGCTAAGGGCAATCTGCGTGAGGTTCCATTTTTAGGTTCGGTTTTTCGCGCATGAGCATTAAATCC